CTACATAGGTAGAGATAGTGGCCTGTGGTGGAGGAAATAGGCTACATAGGTAGAGATAGTGGCCTGTGACGGAGTAAAATAGCCACATAGGTAGAGCTAGTGGCTTATGGCGGCATAAAATGGATGCATATAGGTAGAAATAGTGGCCTGTGGCAGAGTGAAATGGCTACACAGGCAGAGCTAGGTGCGAGTAAAGGGAATAATTGCCAGCGACGGCATTCACAAAGAGTTCATCCATCCGTGCCGAGCCTTTTATCGAAGCAATTACGCGCCTTCAAAAGGACTCAAGTTAATTTTCGAAGCTAACAACACTGTGGCGGGAGGTTTACGATTACAATGCCGCAAACCTGATTATCGAAAAAAAATTTAGTTAATTTTCGAAGCTAACAACACTGTGGCGGGAGGTTTACGATTACAATGCCGCAAACCTGATTATCGTAAAAACGTGTCCGGCGAAAAAAACTCGCCGTTCGACTTATACCAGCCTATAAATCGGCGCCCAGTCGACAGAGCGACAACATGCGAAGCCACGCGCTGCAAAAACCTCGTAACCGACGTACGTTTATTTCATCCGCTCGCCGGCAATGAAAAACCGATCAATAAATGTCGGAAAGCAATTTCAACCGTAGGTCGACTAAGGGCACGCACGGAAAACACGCTCGCACAAGCGCTCCCGCGCGACAACGGCTGGCTGAATAAAGATATAACCCGATTACAAATGTAAAATCACGAGGATTTTCAATTAAACATGCTAGAGCGATTACAGTCAGGCGTTTAATGTTTATTCAAAGACGTGCTCGACCCGGTTTTAATAAACAATTATTAAACTATGTCCGATGGATGCCCTCGTATCTTTGAGGATCCACTTTAATTTAATAAGCTTAACATATATGCATGATTTGATAAAACGCTATGGCACAGTTACCGGTCGCACACGCGCGTGTGTACGAGCACGCTCTAGTAACCAGTTTAACGTCTGCTTCCGATTACATTATACACGAATTTCAGGTGAGCGGAGACCTTTTTTAAACCAAAATGTTTAAATCTAGACGATAATGGGGAACATTTCGGGGATTTTAGGACAGTGACCCACATGCGCACACAACTGCTGACACACTCGTACACCCCATCGACATTGCACGCGTATTCGCACGCAACCCCCGCCACAAAGGTGACGACTCTGAATGAACTCGCCCTTGCCCCATTACAACACGCGGTCGCCCCACACATAACAATATCAGGAGTACATAACTGATGTCCTATTATAACTTCCTATTATGGATTCCTATTATTTCCTATTCAAATGGTTTCTCTCTCTCTGCGTATTAGAAAATCGCAATCTGAACTCGTTTTGTGCCAACAGTCTACGAGAAAAGGTGAATGTTAAGACTAATGACAGGACTAGTCTCTTGTCTGACAACGGGGCCCAGCAGACTCCTAGATTCACTGCACTCTCCGGACCACATGTCTATCGTGGCCGGACCACGGTCTGAACTAGCCCGACCAGGCTGTGTGACTAACGTCAATATACACACGGTCCTCTAACCCTAGCAAAGACCGTTTCGTGGAGCTAGGTCTGAACGTGCCGTTGTCAGTGAGTGCATGGAGAGAAACTAGCGCAGATGATGTAAGTACAGATGATGTAAAATGCAGGAGAAACACGGGCGCACAGCGGGGCTGTGGCAGCCTCTGTAATACTGCTGCTAATCCCGGGACCAGCGCAGGCAGGCGCGGTCCATGCTGCGGGTCCGTGTGTATATTATCAAGAGTACATGATAGACATTTGAATAGGAAATAATAGGAATCCATAATAGGAAGTTATAATAGGACATCAGTTATGTACTCCTGATATTGTTATGTACTCCTGATATTGTTATGTGTGGGGCGACCGCGTGTAGTAATGGGGCAAGGGCGAGTTCATTCAGAGTCGTCGCCTTTGTGGCGGGGGTTGCGTGCGAATACGCGTGCAATGTCGATGGGGTGTACGAGTGTGTCAGCAGTTGTGTGCGCATGTGGGTCACTGTCCTAAAATCCCCGAAATGTTCCCCATTATCGTCTAGATTTAAACATTTTGGTTTAAAAAAGGTCTCCGCTCACCTGAAATTCGTGTATCATGTAATCGGAAGCAGACGTTAAACTGGTTACTAGAGCGTGCTCGTACACACGCGAGTGTGCGACCGGTAACTGTGCCATAGCGTTTTATCAAATCATGCATATATGTTAAGCTTATTAAATTAAAGTGGATCCTCAAAGATACGAGGGCATCCATCGGACATAGTTTAATAATTGTTTATTAAAACCGGGTCGAGCACGTCTATGAATAAACATTAAACGCCTGACTGTAATCGCTCTAACATGTTTAATTGAAAATCCTCGTGATTTTACATTTGTAATCGGGTTGTATCTTTATTCAGCCAGCCGTTGTCGCGCGGGAGCGCTTGTGCGAGCGTGTTTTCCGTGCATGCCCTTAGTCGACCTACGGTTGAAATTGCTTTCCGACATTTATTGATCGGTTTTTCATTGCCGGCGAGCGGATGAAATAAACGTACGTCGGTTACGAGGTTTTTGCAGCGCGTGGCTTCGCATGTTGTCGCTCTGTCGACTGGGCGCCGATTTATAGGCTGTTATAAGTCGAACGGCGAGTTTTTTTCGCCGGACACGTTTTTTTTCGATAATCAGGTTTGCGGCATTGTAATCGTAAACCTCCCGCCACAGTGTTGTTAGCTTCGAAAATTAACTTGAGTCCTTTTGAAGGCGCGTAATTGCTTCGATAAAAGGCTCGGCACGGATGGATGAACTCTTTGTGAATGCCGTCGCTGGCAATTATTCCCTTTACTCGCACCTAGCTCTGCCTGTGTAGCCATTTCACTCTGCCACAGGCCACTATTTCTACCTATATGCATCCATTTTATGCCGCCATAAGCCACTATCTCTACCTATGTAGCCATTTTACTCCACCATAAGCCACTATCTCTACCTATGTAGCCATTTTACTCCACCACAAGCCACTAGCTCTACCTATGTAGCTTGTATGTGGCATGGCTCTACCTATGTAGCTAGCATAGAACATAGCTCTACCTATGGCTATGTGGCTTGTATGTGGCATAGCTCTACCTATGTAGCTAGCATAGAACATGGTTCTACCTATTTAGCTAACATAGAACATAGATCTACCTATGTAGCTTGTATGTGGCATAGCTCTACCTATGTAGCTAGCATAGAACATAGCTCTATCTATGTAGCTAGCATAGAACATAGCTCTATCTATGTAGCTAGCATAGAACATAGATCTACCTATGTAGCTAGCATAGAACATAGCTCTATCTATGTAACTAGCATGTAACATAGCTCTATCTATGTAGCTAGCATAGAACATAGCTCTACCTATATAGCTTGTATGTGGCATAGCTCTATCTATGTAGCTAACATAGATCATGGCTCTACCTATTTAGCTGGTATGCGGCGCAACTCTACCCGTGTAACCCATTCCGCCTGCCATGGGCTTGCTGCCTGGCTACACTCGTACGTGCATTAGCGGCAGCGATGAGTGCGGTTGCTTTGGTGATAGAGCGTCGGACCAAACGTTTGCCATGGTTGCATCGATCTCTAGTGTATATAGTAGGTAGGTAACAATCCAAGCGCTCCCTATTGCATGTGTGCCGACGAAGGGGGGGGGGGAATGGTTATTGCAGCAGTAACGACTTAGGAAGCCAATCTATCATGCTGTGTAGTCTTTAACACACAAACACACTGTGTATACCCTTGAGAAATTAAAGTCCCTTCATTCCGATTATCTTCGAACGGTCGATGCCGCTGTAGTCTTGGGGCTGATTCAGGAGGTTAACGGCCTAACTAAGGCAGTTTATAAAGGCAGTTTACTAAGGCAGTTTATAAGGCTTACACTACAGGCTCACCCCCTGTAATTTGTAAAGCGCAACCCGTGCAATAGAAACGAATGCAAAAACGCAGTCGCCGAGGCGCTCACCACGTACCGCGAGCAGCGGGAAGAGAATGTTAGTGTTATTGTTGTTACTATATGCAGTAGTTATTAACACACAAACACAAGTCGCAGGCGAATGGAGGGTGTAGACACACTCGTGATGCATTCCACACGCGAAGATGGGTGGAGTAGCGATTGGAAGTCGTGCGCCCCAACAGCTGTGACCGAATATTCAGTGTCGGATGTATAACTAATGATACATATAATGACTATAACTGAGCTAGTCAGCGTCGATGGGGCGGAAAGCGTGATATTTTGCGAAAAAGTAGGTGAGCATAGACTACTACTACTACACTACTATTGTAGTGTTTATTCGCGTGGTCGAATGCATTTGCCTAAACTGGCGCGCATGATGTAATTTCTGCTTTCGTGTCGTGACTGGCATTTCTCCGCTGGCTGCGTAGTGCAGGGTTGGCGTGCCTATATTAATAATGGGTGAAATTTGGCTATACGATGTCGGCCTGGGCTTTTACCTGCTGGTCAGTAGGTCTCGCTGTGTAGCTGAGGGCAAATCTACTGACGATGTCGTGTAGAGGGGCGAGGTAGTTGAAGCGTTGGTCGTCCGGGGATGCAGTGTTACAATGGTGCAGCCTGTTCTGCTAGCATCTATGACAAATACGACACACGCATATACGCTCTCCTATGACACTATTTGTCATAGGAAGAATCTTCCTATGACAAATAGTGTCATAGGAGAGCGTATATGCGTATGTCGTATTTGTCATAGATGATAGCAGAACATGTTGCAGCGTGGCAAGTTACAGGTGGGTTGGGGGTGGCGGGGCTGGATGTAGACTCATGCTGAAGTTGTCGCAGTGCTAGAGGTAGATTTCGATGTGAAATGAAGCTCTGTCGTTGTTTTTTACGTGTATGAGGGTATTAATGGTATGATGTGTTAACCAAATTAAACTTGCGAGCTCGAAATATTGGATTTCGTGCCCGTATGCGGATACGGCAGCGTCTAGCT